CAGGGCTAGGTGGCCAACAAAGAATCTCTCAGGTTGACTCTGATTATGGGACCAGAAGAGAAAGGGCATGTGACCTCTGGGGTGTGAGAGACCTCAGTGGAATCCCAACTGCCCTTTGACATGGTACGACCACGAGATCTGTCACTGAACCTCCCTGAGCCTCCGCTGCCTCATCCGCCAAATGGGAATGTGATCGGAAGGACAAGGACTCCGCACAGATGCTGGCAAGAGGGCATCAGATTCCTAACACAGCAGGCCTTTCCGCTTCCCTGGAAGCAGGACATGCCAGCCTGCTTGTGCTCTGAGAGGCACAAACACCTCAGGGCAGGCTGAGGGAGAGGGCTCTGTGCACAGAAGCCTGGGGCTTTTCTCGATGGCTTTTCCTGTGATTCACTGGGTCACATGGAGTGGAATTTCCCACTTGGCTTCTCTTTGATAAGGCAGGTCTATTTCTTCACCTGCCAGACAGGAATTACTTCACATGTGTTATAAAAATTAAATACACGGGGCTGGGGATTTAGCTCAGCGGCATAAGCGCCTGCCTTGCAAGCAGGCAGTCATGAGTTCGATCCCCAGTACCGGTAAAAACGAAAAAGACAAAAAAAAATTAAATACACAGGGCTGGGGATTTAGCTCAGTGGCATAAGTGCCTGCCTTGCAAGCAGGCAGTCGTGAGTTCGATCCCTGGTACCAATAAAAACAAAAAAGACAAAAAAAAAAAAATTAAATACACGGGTGGTAGCACAAGCCTGTAATCCCAGCACTTGGGAGGCTGAAGCAGGAGGATCATTACAAATTCGAGAGCAGCCTGGGCTGCAAAGTAAACTAACTCAAGGGCAGCCTGAACTACACTTGGAGACTCTGTCTCAAAAAGACAGAGAGAGAGAAGAGAGAGAAGACAGAGAAGAGAGAGAGAGAGATTGAGATTGAGATTGAGATTAAATACAACAGGGAAGAAACCATCCAGAGAAGTGGTATAGAACTGCCAAGATGCTGGAATGGAAGGGAAGAATCTAACTAGTACAAAGTGTTTGTTGTCTAATTCTTTTGACTTTTATTTTAAAAAAGAAAAGTTTGAAATTTATCATTATAGAATTTTGAAGGACAAATAAAATTAAACACAACAGGCCAGGCATGGCTGAGTCAGGAGGAATCCTGCAAGTCTGAGATCAGCCTGGGCTATACATAGTGAGTTCAAGGCCAGCCTGAATTCCACAGAGAGACTGTCTTAAAAAAAGAAGAAGAAAAAAAGAAGGAATTATATATAACAGTGTGTGTGCAATAACTGAAAATAACTTCTGTGTTGTTTCCTGAGTAGCCCAAGCCATTTGTAGACTCCAGGGTCTCTGAGACGTTCTGTATCAGAATGATCTCAATCAGTTCCAGATCCTGCAGTTAAATTGTAGGATCTACCAGTGCCGAGTGCTAAGCGTGAACCAAGGATGAAAGGCCTGGGCGGGGCACCATATCAAGGAGACATGCCTACCAGTAGAAATGCAGGAGCCCAGCCTGCCTGTGGGACCTTCAGTGAACCAGGATGCGGACCAGGGAAAGCCTCATGAACGGAAGCCTGATGACATTACCACTTAGTAGCAGTGGAGGTCCAGGACCTCATCACATGTTGCTTATATTAAATTACTTTATCTCCTTAGGCTTACAGGAGATCTCTGCAGAGGTCCCTAAAATCATCTCTGGGCCTATCGAGCAACTCCGAGGGAAATCACAGCTTTGCAAACACTCTCCTAACTCATTCCTGCTATTCTACCCCCAAATCAAACAGAAAAGACAAATCTACTTTACGGTCTCCTTTAGTCCCCAAAAGCACTGAAATGAAAGAAAAAATGATTTTGTATTTTGAGGCTCCTTATGGTATGACTCCTACACCCTAAACCAGGCAGTGCACCACTGCCACTGTGGGTCAGTCACCGGTTCACTGTGTGACCCTGGACAACCTTGACCCCGATGACAGCCTAAGAGGTCAAATGGGCTTCTTTTTAGGGGCCCTGATCCAAGATTCTTTGGCTCTGCTCCACAGGTACCCTACCGAGGCTGCAATAGGCCAAAACTCTGCAGGCCTGAATTCTCCAAAGGGTACAGAAAACAGCTGGCAACTTCCAGCATCCCAAGCAGGCTGGTGCTCAAACGGGGAACACAGCCAGGGCTCCACATCAGCTCTGGGAGCTGGAAATCAGGCGAGAGACACAGGACCAGGCAGGCAACCAGCAGAACACAGGCTATTCCGGCCAGGGAGTATTGCTCCCAACCGAGGCTTTCTTACTGATATTCCCTCTCTTCCTTCCAGGATAAGAAGACAAGGCCTCCAAGGGAACCAGAAACACAATTCTGCAACAAAGCTCGACACAGAGTTGGAGCTGCAGGTTCCCGGTTAGTGCTGTGTTTGGGTTAGCTGTGACACCCAGGGAAATGTCCTCACATCTGTACACCGCGACATGCATGAACAACTCTGTGAGCCAAGCACACTGGATCAAGAAACAGAGCAATGCCTGTACCCCAGAAATCCCCTCCATGCTGTCTTCCAGCCTCCAGTACCCTGAGCACGGCCCCAACTCTGACTTCCAGCACTATGGATTTGTTCTGAGCTTAACCTTCCTTGTTCAGCTGTGTGCATGTGTGAGTGTTACACAAACAGTCCCAGGCAGCAGGCTGTCACCAACCAGCACTTCTGCATAGTAAGGACTGGATGAGGAGTGAAAATCAGGGAGCTACCCCAGCAGGGGCTAGGGTACTCATATGCAGAGGAAGCAAGGCACGTACAGACCCCAAAGACCCGGCTGAGTCCCTGCATGCTTCTTGTGAAGCCTTACACCTTCCTCCTGGGGGTCAGAAGTGGGAGCAGTTTCTGGATCCTGCACGCTGACTTCAGAGTGGGTCCATCATCCAGACCAAAGGCGTCACTTCCTCCCACAACCATCGGGGACTACTATCACCAGCCCCATCTCACAGATAAAAAATGAAATTTGAGAAACTTGATTTTGGTCACTGCTGCCCTGGGCAGCGTCTGGCACACAGTGGACCCTTCACGTGTTCAGTGATGCAGTGGGGAGCAGGAGAGAAGATGAAGCTGTCCCTGCAGAGGCTGCCCAGTCGGTTTGAAGGCGGCTGCAGTTCTATCTGTTCTGTGACCTCCCCCTTCCCTATGTTAAGACTTTGTTTCCACAACTGTCAAATGAGGGTCCTGGAAAAAAGGACCAACAATGGTCAGCTTCCCTGACCTGCAGACCACAAACCCTAGCACTATCTGGCCACTCCAAAGGCCCCAGACCCCACCCCACCCCACCTCCACCCTCTACTGTCTTTTACCTACCTTTTGCTTGGTTAGCACTTTCTTTGTTTTTGGGGGGATGGGGTCCCACTAAGTAGTTCAGGCTGGCCTTGAACTCACTTATAGTCCAGGCTGGCCTCAAACTCCCAGAGATCCTCCTGCCTCAACCGCCTGAGTGCTGAGATTACAAGCGTGTGTCCCCATATGTAGCCCTGGTTATCACCTTAGACAAGTGGGGACACAGGGAACCCCTGGCTGGGAGGCACATAGGGCCTTCTCCCCTGCAGGCAGGGAGGACCAGAGCACAGGAGTTTTCCTCTAGTTGAATAGCTTGCCTCCTTCACACAGGTGAGAGACAGGGCAATGAGGGAGTAATTCACAAACTCTCCAGGAAGCTGCCTCTGCTTCCTTCTTCAGAGCCCTGCCCTACCCAGCTCTCCCTTTCTCTGCCCCCCACCACGAGTCCAAGCCCCCACCTCAAGGTGGGGCTCCAAGCCAACTCCGCCCTGTTCCTAGGTGTACAGCTGCCCTGCTGCAAGCTGAGCTCCAGCCAGTGGGACAGAGGCTGCATTTCACACATCTTTGAACTCAGCATGGAGCCTTCATTCAAGACATGGCCAATGTGAGGCCACCAAACCAAAGGCCAGGGCCAGGACCTGCCCAGATCTGCTGCTGTGAGGACACCACCTCCCGGGAGCAGAGGCACTTGAGCTGCGGAACCTGGTGCCCCTAGCACCCAGCCTTTGTCCCCTGCCTTCCTGATGCTCCCAGGCAGCCCCATGACAGTAGCTGCCAGTCCTGCCCTGGAGAGGAGTCACCTGTGGCAGCCAAGGTTCCATCCTGCCAGCCAGGAAGACATTCCCTGAGCCACCACACTGCCACCTCCCATTTTCCTGGGCATGAGGCAGGTCTGTCTGGCTTTGAAGATCTTTCTGTTTGTCTTTAAAAATAAAAGAAGGAAGGGACAGAGTCCTGGCCCAGAGGCCACTGAAGGGGGTGGGCCTCCTGCTTGGCCTGTTCCGCACCACAGACCTCAATTGCCAGAGTGTGTGGTGGGGTGGGGCCAGGCACCAGGTGAGTGTGTGTGCAAGGGCTGGGTGTGCAGGTACGGAGCTCCAGCCGTGTCACCAACTCTGGGCAACCTGCTTAAACTATGGGCCACAGCCTCCTCTGGAAAACCAGAGTAAAATAAATCCTTATTCCACATACTGCCTGAGAACCGGACTTCAGTATTATGGTTTTATAACCAGTAACTGCCATTTACAAATAAGCAGTTGTCAGAAGAAAACCAGGTCAGAAGCCAGGTCAGGCATGGTGGCACACACCTATAACCATACCATTTCGGAGGCTGAGACAGGACTATTGCAAGTTCAAGTCAGTTTGGGTTATCTACATAGTGAGGCCAACGCCAGCTGAACAACATAGCCATGCCCTGTCTCAAAGAAAGGACAAGAACAAGAATCATTAAGATTTGTGACAGCTCTCAATCAGGTTATGCTGAGAACACAGATCTCAGGAAGTCCTGGCCCTTCTACCTTATTTCCAGAGAAATGACTAAGTGTGGAATCACCCAGGATGATGAATAAACCCTGGGCTCGTTTCTAGAGCCACCCAGTGGACCTGCAACAAGTCCACACCTTATGACACCCACTGACAGCGACCCAGAGAAGCACAGCCAGCTCCATCTGCCCCCTCCACCTCCCACTGGGCTTCTTACCTCCCCAGCTCCTCTCCGATGTCGTAAAAGTCCTCCACCTTCTGTTGTTTGAACGACTCCATGTCTGGGCTTCTCATGGAGCCTGGGCCCTACAACCCTGAAATGGGGTGAGACCAGAGGTTAGGATACCATAGAAATGAACACAAACCAGGCATAGTGGAGCACACCTATAAACCCAGAACTCAGGAGGCTGAGGCAGGAGGATCCCTGTGAGTTCAAGGCTAGGCTAGGCTATGTAGTGAGTTCAAGGCCAGCCTGAACCACATAATGAAACTGTCTCAAAAAAGATGAAATTAGCACAACCTGCAGTCACCGGCCACAGGCTGCTAGGAATTTCATGGCAGTCTCCAGCCTGGTTCCTTCCACAAAAGCCACCTACTCAGGGGGCTTCTTGCCTGTGGCCAAGGATTCTTATTTGATTCAACTTACTTTTTTTCTTGTCAGTTCTGGGAATTGAATCCTGGGCCTTGCATTGCTAGCTAAGCATTCTACCAAACTCCATCTCCAGCCTTTTTCATAAGTTTTTATTTTGACACAGAGTCTCACTAAGTTTCCCAGGCTGACCTTGAACTTATGATCCTCCTGCCTCAGCCTCCTGAATAGCTGAAGCTGACTGGTATGTACTACTACACCCAGCTCTTAATTCAGATCTGTTCAGTGTATGTGCTGGCAAATCAAGCACAAATCAAGTTTAATACGGAGACAAAAAAAAAAAAAAAAAAAAAGAGCTGTCTTTGCATCTGTCTGAAGAAGTTCACAGAAACAGACCCATAGCAAAGTTTAACTATTTGCTCCCTTTCAATTCAGATCCCCTGGGAAGAGAGGTGGCTGAGGTCCAGTCATAAAAGCACTCATTTCTGAGTCAAGAGTCCCAGGTTCAAGTCCCAGCTTTGTATGGGTGAGACCATTAAGCTGTCTCTCTTAGCATCCCCATCTGCATGATGGAGCTAATACTGAAAAAAATCAAGCCCAAGTCCCAAGATTTGTTTTGTAAATGATTAAACACTGAGAAAGGCAAGGGATTATTATGACCTCAACGCCCTCAGGGACTGCAAGTCTGGACGATAGGCAAATGCTCTCTCATCACCCCAGTGAGTGGGGAACCGTGTGACAAACTTCAACCGACAGGGGGAGTCAGGAGCCCGAGGTGCCAGGCCTCTCTTTGCCTGAAATGCGCTCCATGACCTCATGGCTTGGCAGAGGGGCTGAAGCTCTCTCTACCATGGGATGGAGCTGGCTCTGCTGGCACAGGGCACCTCAAGAAGACACACAGGTGATCCCCCGCCCTGGGAGCCCACTGGCTGCTGGGACAGCCATGTGCCACCTGCACACCTTTACTTAGCAAAGACCTCTGGGCCCACTCAGGCTGTAGACAGCTCTTCTTCCACCTGACAATCAGAGGCCAACCACGCCCAGGCCCGTTACCCCAGGAGACTGTTATTTTCAGGAGGCATCAGTCCCTAAGGACGTATCGCCAATGCCTACCTAGTCTGACTCTCAGGGACAAATGTATTATCCTCCCTCCCGCTCAGTCCCCAGAAAACCAGATGCTGCCATCTCCCTCCCTTCTGCAGAGGCACACACTTCCCCAAAGACCTCCCCCTCAGAGAATGGGCATGGCACCAGGGCCACCTCACGTTCAGGGTCACCTGCCAGTCTTGGTACCCATGGCCTGTCATGTGTCCTCTCCCTGCTTGGTCCCCACTGGCCTGAATGCAAATGGGACACTGAGAAAGGCCAGCCCAGCAGCCTGACCATGGCCCAGAGCTAGTGGGCACCCTCTCTGGATCCCTATCCCCTCCTCTGTCACAGGGACGACACTCTCCATGTCACCTGTTCACAACCACTTCCAAGTGGGGTTCTGGACACAGCCATGCCCCTATCATTATCGGACTCACCCCAGACCGTTGTTTGGGTCCTGGCTTCCCACACTATTGAGAAAACCAATTCAGCTCCTTTCTCAGGAAACAGTTCCTCTGGCAGGTTTGACTTGACCAGAACTAAAGACTGGCCTGAGTGTGATGGCACACGCTTGTAATCCCAGCACTTGGGAGGCTGAGGCAAGAAGATTGTTGCAAGTTCAAGACCAGCCTGAGCTACAAAGTGAGCTTAAGGCCAGCCTGAATTGCATAGCAAGAACTTCCAAGCCAAGCGGGGTCGGGGAGGGCACTGTCTGCCATCCTTTTGCTGAAAGAATTGTTCCAAAGAAACACTGGGGTGAGCTATACCCATTTCAGACAGCTACCAGTAGAGTTAAGCAGAAAACTGCAAAACACTTTGTAGGCAGCTACCGAGGAATGGTTAAGGTCTTCTGTTGTGGGAAACCAGCTCCATTTGCCATTAGGAGGGGCACTGGATCCAAAGCCCAGCTGCCCAGTAAATGACTCCGCTTCCTGGTTGGCCAGGGGCAGGGGTACGGAAGCCCTGAAGGGCAAACTGAGCCAATAGTTTGGCCTCGTCTTCCCGGTCCAGCCCTCACTCCCTCTCCCACATGGCCTATTCTTGTTTCTTTGCTTTGAGGCAGAGGCTGGCTGTGTAATTCAAGCTTGCCTCAAATTCATGGTGATCCTCTTGCCTCAGCCTCACAGGGATCACAGGCATGCACCGCTTACACTCAGCTTTCACGCAGTCCTTCTCCATTCCCCCCAAATTTCCATCCCTGCCATGTCCCAGCACAAATAGGACCCTTTCCAAAGGAAGGGAGTGGCAGAACCACTCCCTTCCCACAAGGCCCAGCCCAGTGCTACCATCTTTGTGAGCTCCACGATCCTAGCTCCCTCATGACACATGGAAATTCTCTCCTTCTTTAAACTCCTAAAAAGCATTCTTCATACACTTTTAGGGTTAGAATTTTTCTCATCTGGCTCTTAATATAATTCATGTCTATGACTATCATACACAAATAACATTTCTGAGCTTCAAATTCATTCCATGAAAAAGGGCTCCAGACAAAGCCTGCTGTTGGGGAGAGCATGGAGCAACTAGAACTCTCCAGCACTGTCCAGGATTACATACCAGAGAGTACCATGCCTGGAAGACGACTGGGTAAACTGAGAAAGGTGTGGAGTGGTTTTCTAGAATGTTCTGTGCTAGCAAGTTCACAGCAACACACTGATTGATAACTAAAAACTGGAAGCCACCAAATGACCATCAGTAGAAGAATGGACAGATCAACTGAAGTCTATCCAGACAACGGAATCATCACACAGCGATGATACAGACAAGTGTCACTGACACAAATTTGAATGGAAGAAGCCAGATGCCAAAGATCATGATAATGATATCCTGTGAGATCCCATGAATCTAATCTATGGTGCTGGAGTCAGACTGGTGGTTCCCACTAGTGAGGGGTGGGGACTGGGAAGGGGACATTCGAGCCTTCTAGGTTCCAGGAAATTTGTTTCTTAATCTGAGTGTTTTATCCTGGACATGTGGGGGTTCACATATATTTTATATGTAATCGAAATTCCATATAATTTAAAAATTAAATGAGTATATACTTTATGGGGCACAGAAGATATGTATGTAAAATGTCTAAATTATTCCTAGGTGTTATCATTTGGCTTTAAAATGTCCTCTTAAACTGGATGTGGTGGCAAACACCTGTAATCCTAGCACTCTTGGAGGCTGAGGCAGGAAGATCAAAAGTTTGAGTCCATCCTGGGGAAATTAGCTGCTTAGTGAGACCCTATCTGAAAACAATAAAAAAATGGACTGGGGATGTAGCCCAATGGGAAGGCAATGGGTTCAATCTACCCTACCACAAAAAAAGTCCCCCCAGAGGCTTCAGAGGTGGGGCTTTTTGAAGGTGACTGGATTAGTGAGGCACTATCTTCATCAACCAATGAATTCACAGCTGAAGGGGCTCTCAGGAGGGAGACCATGTGGAGGAAGTCGGTCAGTCAGTGGGAAAAGGTACACCCTGGCCCCAGCTTTCCTCTGTCTCTTTGCTTCTGACTCCTCCAAGATGCTCTGTGTCACCACTGGCTCAGTAACCCCAGAGCTCAGTGACCATGGACTGAAATCTCCAACACCATGATTGAAGGTGTTCAACTCAGGTACTCTGTCACCACAACAAAAAGCCACCCCGGACAATTCCGATCATCAGAGTTCCTCCCCTCCTGCCTGCTGTCTTAGGGCCCCATGAGGAGGAAGACCACATTCTCACCTTTGTCCCCAGGTGGCAGTAGCATGCAGCAGCACTCCCTAAGTACTGGCTGATTTGCAGTTAGCATTTAGCTTCCTTTCTCAAGGCCACACTCAAAGACCTCTTAAGGTAAAAACAGCTGGCAAAAACTTGCAGCTCTTTCCTAACACTCCCTGGATTCACTTTCTACTTGATTAGTTTACAAGCATGAAAATCAAGAGGAGAAACTCTATAGAGTGGAACTATAGCCCCCAACCAGGACCCAGAGAAGGACCCAGGGCAGGATACCCCGCCAGCCCTGAGACACTGAAACCCCTCAGCAGGGACAAAGCCCAGAGGAGCGGCCATTGGCTCTGGGTCTGCTATCTTGACACCCACTTTTCTCCCAACGGAGGCCTTAGAATTCCTGTTCAGGCCATGTGAGGATCCCAGCCTGCTCTCCAGGGGGGTGACACAGATCTCCTTGGACCCCCAGAAGGGATTTCAGACGCCTGTTTAGGGATTCAGAGACTCTGTTTCAGCAACCAGGGTGAGAAAAGGGGGCCAGTGCTGCTCCCCGCTGGCCACACTGCACACTGGCTAACAACTCACAGTGAAACAAGAGCTGGAACCCACGGCTGTCCGGTTTGGGCCGCTTGTTTGACCAAAGGAGAAAACTGAGGTCCAGACAGGGGAAAGTCTACTGCCTGTCACACAGCCAGCACTCAGGGTTTCAGCAACAGACACCCCAAAGTTTCATGGTGGTTGGTGCAGGCTTGGGAAGTCAGCCAGCTCCTGGGGGACCACCAGGGAGGGGATGTCCAGACCAGGAAGTCACCCCATGGCCACCAAGCCCTCTCCCTGCTGGCCACAGCTCGCTCTGTTGGGTAGCACCCACATTCTTCACACAGGGCGAGCAGGGCAGGGGCCAGTGGTTGCAGGCGTCAAACGCAGAGCACACATTACACTGGGGACCATCTCAGTAGTCTCGCTCATGCTGCCAGCAGCAGGAGGGAGCCCCAGCATCTCAGTCCAGGGACAGCCATGCCTCAGGCCCAAGACCCCCGGGGAAGCTGCTGGACTCTCCCCGAGGTCCCTATCAGCGCCAAAGATGAGTTATGGGATAAAACACAGGTAACAAAGAAGCAGCCCAGGTGCTGGCCCCCTTCTGGTAATAGCCTCCCCCGCAACACCTGCACCTAGAAATCGGACAGACAGGGCCAAGGGTCATGCAGTGCCCCGCTGCCTCAGCTGGGCTCTGCAGATGGGGGCGCCTCTGCCCACTGCGCAGCCTTGGGCTGAGAAACCCATTTACACTTTATCGAAGTAGAGTGGGGTCCACCACACCTGCACTCGCCGGGTACCCCCCCAAGGCCGGCCCAGGGGCCCCGTCCAGGCGACGCACACCCCCTCAGTGACCATCGCGGCGCGCTGCGGGACCCAGCACTGCCCGCAGCCGGCTCCCGAGGCTGGGAACACGGCTGCCCAGGACGCGCACTGCGCCAGCCCCTGCGGTGTCACTTGCCGGAAAGGGCTGGCCAGGCGCAGGGGGACGACACAAGCCCAGACCCGGGGCTGCCCTCCGGGGAAACCCGTCCCTTCCGAGGGGGCCTCCTCTGGAGGTCTGGCTCCCAACTCCGCCCCGCCCCACCCGGCTCCGGGTCAAGGGACCAGCTCGGGACAGAGCGCCCGGGCTCGGCCTCGCGGGTCCCCGGCCGCAACCGCCCGCGCACCCCGTCCCGCCCGTCAGGCCCGCGGGCCGCGCTACTCACGGCGGAGGCTGCGCTGCTACGGCCGCGGCAGGGTGCGCGGTGCTGCTCGAGTCCCAGGCCGGCCCAGCCGCGGGACGGCGAGGGGCGGAGCGGCCGGCCCGTCCCAGGCGCCGGCTGCACGGGGCTTGGGGCGCCCCCTGCCGGAGCCCCCGCGGCCCGCCCGCGCGCGCCTCCCGGGTAGCCGCGCAGCCTCCAGAACGCCCGAGGGCGGGCGCAGCCCGGACCCCACGCCCTTCTGGGCTTTTATGCTCTGCACTGTGCGGCCTCGGTCGGGGTAGCGCCCTCTCTGAGCCCCGCGTGTTGACTGACTTAGCGCACACTCAGCTCTACAGCCTGGCATCCATGCTCAGAGAAACAATACTTCCACGCCCCTCTCCCATGCCCCACACCAGACCCGGAGCAGACTCCCTTCCCTCCGGTCCAGGAAGGCGGAGCCGCCCACCTCGCAGCCCCTGTGCTCCCTGCGCCCCCTGTGCCCCCTGCGCCCCCTGCGCCCGGATCCCCAGCGCGGACCCATCTCCACGCGAGACCCTTCCGGACCAAGGAGCCTGCAGTGAATTCCTCCTCTCTTACGTCTCGCAAGAATCCCGGAGGGAAGAAGAAACCTGAGTGGAGGAGGTGATGGGGAAGAGGTGGAAACTTCCAGAAGCCACCTAGGGGAAGGGAACTGAGACTGCGCCAGTGATTCCGCCCCTGAGCCCCCAGGCTCCTGGACGGCTGGGTGGGCCTGAGGCTACTGGGGCTCCCTGGCTCAGCGCTGGGCCCAGCCCTCTCACCCAGGGGACACGCCCAGGGTACTACCCTATGTGGAGGGGACCTCACACCACCCCGGGGCTGAGTCAGGACACACATTCCCACCGGTGGCCCCTGGCCAGTGAGAAAACAGCACAGCTCAGAGGGTCACTGTCATCACTCTGGTCATTTCTGAGATGGGGAAACAGGGGACTGGAAGGGCAGTTACCTTCCCAAGGTCAGCAGCTGGTAAAGTGCGAGGATTAAAACCCAGTCTCCCCCAGGCTGAGCACAGTGGCGCAGTGCAATGCCAGTGCTCAGGAGGCTGAGGCAGGTGGGTCCCTGTGAGCTGGAGGCCGAGCTGGGCTACAAAGTGAGCTCAAGGCCAGCCAGGACTACACAGTAAAACCTTGTCTTAAAAACAAAACAAAGGCTCAGCGGCATAGTGCCTGCCTGGCAAGCGCGAAACCGTTCTCTGGACTGCCGATACCAACAAAACAAAACAAACCACCAAGTCTGTTCGGACTCTCACTCAACTCCAGGCCCTTCGTGGCCCCCGCAGCCAACCAGTGCCTCTGCTGGCCCATGAGGCCCCTGCTTGCCATTGGCTCGCCTTGCTGGCTAGCCAGCCTGGATTTTCCTGCCTCTGTGCTTTGGTTCGGGCGATCCCTGCCCTCTGTCTGTCCTCGGGCTCTCTGCAGGACCTACCGTGCAGCCTCCCTGACCGGCCTCTACATCCGTCTCTCGGGCTCTCTGCAGGACCTACCGTGCAGCCTCCCTGACCGGCCTCTACATCCGTCTCTCCGTCTCTCCCCGAGCCCCATCCTCTGGTTTGTTCCCCTCTTACTAGTCCCCTTCTGTGTTTGCTCGGAATGATGGCTACTTTTCTTTTCCTCAGGAACAAAACAGTGTTGTGCCCCTCTGGAACCCGTACAGTGCCCGACACCCCAAACCCAGTGAAAGTCCATTGAATGGAATTGCTATTGTGAGACTGTTGCGGGGAAGAGGCCATGATCGGCTCATTTTCCATCGTCCCTGAAAGCACCCAGGCGCCTGGAAGCTCTTGTTGGAGAGACACATGGACAGGTAATGTAAGTCACCGCCCTGGGTTATTCTGCTTCTAGCATGTGCTTCCTCGTACTCTACTGGACCCCGAAGTGTGTGTGTGAGTGTGTGTGTGTGTGTGTGTGTGTGTGTGTGTGTGTGTGTTGCACATGCGCACTGTCAAAAACATTTTATTTTATTAGAGGCCTTATCACTCTTTGGAACCTTTCAGGTAGGAGACGGCTTTAAAAAAAAATGATATATTTTAGCTATATATAACAATTGTATTCATCATAGAGAATTTGTACCTGTACACGGTATAGCTTGCTTGTTCTTTTTTCCCATTCCCCTTCCCTCCTTATTTGCAAAAGCTTTGTTTCTTTTTTCCCCCTTCTAACCTCTTTTGTTCTTGTTCCTTTATTCTTCTTCCTCCTTGTTTCCTTTCTCATTTGAACATTTCCTTCTCATTTTCCAATCTCTGTTACACATTTTGATCCTTGTTTACATTTTCAGTTTCTGACACCAGAGGAACAATGTGTGTCCGATTTATTTTACTTAAGGGTGTGGTCTCAAGGTCCATCCATTTAGCTAGAAGTGTCTCAAGCTTATTCTTTATGGCAGAGTAGTACTCCACTGCATTAAAAAAAATCTTCTTTATCCATTCATCAGTTAATGAGCATTTGGGCTGCTTCCAAGAATTAGCTGTTGCAAACTGTGCCACTATAAATATGGGTCTGCATATATTGCTGTGGTTCAGTGCTGTTAATTCTATCAGGAAGATACCAAAAGAGAAATAGCTCATCAAATGAAACCTCTAGTTTTAGTTTTTGAGTAATCTCTACACTGATTTCCACAGTGGGTTGTACACTCTCACCAACAGTGGAGTTTTTCTTTTTCCTCAAAGCCTTGCTAGCATTTGTTACTGGATGATTTTCTTTCTTTCTTTTTTTCTTTCTTTTTTTCTGGTACCATAATCAAACTCAGGACCTTGAACTTGCAGGCAGCTGCCTATGCCACTGAGTTATATGCCTGGCCCTTGGTTTATTTCTTGATAAAAGTCATTCTTTCTGGAGTGAGACAGGATCTCAGCATTGTTTTAATTTGCACCTCTAGAATGACCAGTGATGCTGAACATTGTGCCATGTAATTATTTGTCACTTTTCTCTTCACCTGAGAAGTGTCTGTTCATTTCAGATGTCCTCCCCCCAACCCTTTTTTTCCCAAATCCATTTCATTTCAAAAAGGAAAAAACGGAGGCCAGGGATACAGTTCAGTGGCACAAGCATCTGCCTGGCAAGCATGAGGTTATGAGTTTGATTCTCAGTACTGAAAAAAAAAAATCAAAGAGAAACAAAATTTCAAAACACACCAATCAGGCAGTCGCGAGTTTGATCCCCGGTACCGATAAAAAAGAAAAAGACAAAAAAAAATTTTTTTTTAAAAACACACCAATCAGGGGACAACAATGGTATATACATTGCAAATTGTCATTCCCAAATCATTCATCCAGACAAGACATATGCTTACAATTGTCCAAACAAAACCAGCACAAATCTTTCTCTTTAGTGAACTCAATCAGAATAACTATCTTAACTATAATACATATGTATATATAATAATACATATACATGTACATATACCTATATTGTTTCTTTCAGTTTCTCACACTAGTGAGACAACACGATGTTTACACATGCATGCTTGATTTATTTCACTTATGATCATGCTTGGATATAATCATATGTTCTCAAGTTGTACCATTTACCTATAAAAGTCTCAAGGTTAGGGCTGGGAATTTAGCTCAGTGGTGTAAGTACCTGCCTGGCAAGCGCAAGATCATGAGTTCAATTCCCAGTACCAAAAAAAAGTCTCAAGTTTGCCCTTCTTTATATAAAAGTACCACATCTTGTTTATCCATTCTTCTGTCAAAGAGCATTTAGGTTGTTTCCAAAGCCTAGCTATTATAAATTATGCTGCTATAAACACGGGTGCACATGTTATCACTGTGTTAGGATGTTTTTTAATCCTTCTGGGAAGATATCCAGAGGAGAACAGCTAGGTCAAATGGGACCTCCAATCCTAGCTTTTTGAGGAATCTCCACACTTATTTCCATAGTGACTGAACCAGTCTACACTCCCAGCTGTGGACAAGGGTTCCTTTTTCCCCCATACCCCCTCCACCATTTGTTATTGGTTGATTTCTTGATACTAGCCATCCTTTCTGGGGCGAGATGGAATCTCAGTGTTGTTTTAATTTGTATCTCTTGAATGATGTTGAACGTTTTTTCACATATTTATTAGCTGTTTATATTTCTTCATCTAAGAAGTGTGTATTCATCACAGATGCCCATTTTTGGACTGGGTCTTTAAATCTGGGAGGACTGATTTTTTTGAGTTTTTATGTTCTCGATAGTAATCCTTTGTCTGAGGAACAGCTGACAAACATTTTCTCCCACATTGTGGGTTGTCTCTTCACTCTGTTGGTGGTTTCTCTTGCTATGCGAAATTTTTTCAATAACATGAGATCCTAGTTGTTGATTCTTTGTGACAGTTCCTATGTGATCAGGGTTTTGTTTATAAAGTCTTTTCCTATACCAGTGTCTTCAAGAGTTTTACCTGCTCTATCTTCCAGCATATTTAATGCTTCTGTTTTAATTTTTTTGTACTGGGGATCAAACTCACAACCTTGTTCTTGCCAAGCAAGCGTTTGTGCTACTGAGCTAAACTTCTGGCCCTGCATTTTAATATTTAGAGCTGTGATCCATTCAAAATTTAGTTTCGTGCATGGTGAAAATATGGGTCCAGTTTTAATCATCAGCATGTGCAGAGTCAGTTTTTCCAGTGCCATTTATTAAAGAGGCTATCTTTCTTCCAGTGAATGTGTTTGGCATCTTTGCCAAAGATAAGGTCGCTTAGGTCATCTGGAGTTGTTTCTGCATCTTCTAATCTGTTACATTGATCTTTAGGCCTGTTTGTTTTGGGGGAGGTTGGGGGGGGCTTTTTTTGCCAGTACATGCTGTTTTTATCATAGTAGCTTTCTAGTATAATCTTAAATCAGAGATTATGATGCCCCGCCTTGCCTTTGTTGACCATGATTGCCTTTGCTATTCTAAGGCTTTTCTGGTTCAAGATGAATTTTATGATTGTTTTCTCTAGTGCTGTGAGATATGCTATTGGAATTTTAATTGGGATTGCACTGAACCTATATAACAGTTTTGGAAGTATGGCCATTTTCACTGTATTGATTCTTCCTACCCAAAAGCACAGGATATCCCTCTATTTTCTAATATCATCTTTAATCTCCTTTGTCAGAGTACTGTAGTTTTCAATTAGAGGTCTTTTACATCCTTTGTTAAGACTGATTCCT